CTGCAGCCGCATCTGCTGTGCCTTTGTAGAACGACCGTTGTCGGTCGAGTCGATGCGTCGTGAAAGGCAAAAGAAAACCAGTCATGAAGCCGGAGGAACAGCAAAGGACGTTGGAAGAGCGCCGCAACTAAATAAAAGGGATCATATGGCGTCGAGAGGGTTGGCCCCTGTGAGTGATGTCGTCCAGTGTATTGTAGGGACCTCGGATGCAACGACGTCGAAGATTGGACGCAAATGAGATTCGAGGCAGATTGAGAGCGTGACGCCGTTTCTCTATGAAAAGCAATGCAGTCATTGCAACTGCCTTTGAATGTGTGGTGTCCTCGTGAAAACACGCGGCTCTCGTCGGCCTCCCTTTGACACGAAAACAGAAGGTGCGATGCAATGCATTGGTGGCAGTAATCTTTAATTGCAGACACTCAGTTACTTAGCCATAGACGACCAGAAACCAGGAACAGACGATCTGCTCATCATTTGTCGCATCGTTTGTCCTTTCCACAAAAGGGGTTGTCTCCAGTTAGATTGTGATGATCGGCGTTTGTTTATGGTGGCATCCCCCTATCCCTGTCAACGCCGCCCTGTGTTCAGAGGACAACAGCATCACGGTAACTTTGTGCTGGGAATTCATTCCGTGTGTGAGAAGCAGCGAGGCAGCTTGGAGGATGAGGGTGATAGTATTTATTTTGTTCTGGGTATGTGCGTGGTCTATTTGCAAATTAAACCGCCAGGGATGTTATCGTTTTTTTTGTTGTCTTTTGTTCTTCTTTTTATTTTTTAAAAAACATAAAAGAAAAAGAAAACGATTCTTACGTAAAGACACCGTTTTCTTATTTCAAAAATATTATTAAACGTTGAAGATAAAAACGAAAGCAAAAATACCTCCCACGACGAACTATTTCATATACAGAGACATAATTTACATGCAGACACATAAAGGCTCTCTTTATTAGGCACGTATACAAAGATCACGACCGAGGGAGTGCTGTCTGATTTTGAATGTTTTTCAGCCTTCAAAGCACTATCTTGTGGCCGATTTAGCCGGAGGTCTAAACGAGACGACACGAAGGAGGCGGGGAAGACAATACCGCCGGCACGTACGGATAGTAAATATATTTACCGGGATATACATGTACAGAGACAGTGCCGCATTCTAAAGAGCTCTTTGATCGAGTGACCTTGCCCATTGTGGCAGGTCCAAAAAAGTAAGACAGACGATACCGCCTAGGAGTAAAGAGTGAGGGAGTAAAACGGGTAACTGGCAGTAATGCGTATGGTATCAAAATACAGAATCGTCAAGGAGAACGAAGAAGCCGAACTGTCACTCCTATTGCCCAAAACACCACTTTTGTCTTTCATAAACATCATGGGCCATAAAGGGAACAAAAGAAAACATATGCAAAGTAGAGATAGGCAGTTACAGCCAACGTTCGTGTCGAGCGTAGAAATTCCCCAGCACAATATTCATAAAAAGCCCGCTCAGTTGTCCTGCCCCCGTGCTGCGGCGATCTTGGCCCGGGCCTTCTGTATGCGCTCCTCATCCATCGTCTGCCGCCACTCGCAGTCGTCGACAAACTCGCAGTAGCCGCACTTGAGCGCGGCCTCTTCAATGTCGACGCCAACGGGCGCCCGCGCCCCGCGCCACCATGCCAGGTAGTTGGCCAGGTAGCGGTCCAACACATTCTCATCGACAGGGATGACGTTGGTGCCGATGCAATGGCCGCCGTCGTCGCCGTCCCGGGGCCGCTGACGGTACTCCACAGCCACAACGTCGCCAACCGAGGCGGCGCCGTGCGGGAACGTCAGGGCGACTTCGTGCTGGAGGATGCGCACAAAGTCGTGCAGCGTGTTGTTGCTTTCCGCGTCGTCGGCGGCGGCGTCCTCCGTCAGCTCCACAAACAGGGGGTCGGCGTACATTTCCGCCAAAAAGTCGTCCGAAAACAAGTCGTGCTGGTCGACGTTGTAGCGCTGAAAGACGACCTCGAAGCGGAAGTTGCCGCTGGCGAGGTCACACAAGAAGCGGTGGTACAGATACAGTTGAATTTTGGATGGACGTGCCGCGGCGCCAGTGGGTAGACGGGCCGACTCGCGGGTCTTGACGTCGGTAATGTAGACTTTGCGAAGTGGTGACAATGGCGGCTCTTTTTCCTTTCTGGGGCTGGATTTCGCCTGCTCTTGTGAGAATGGGTCCAATGGAGACGACGGAAAGTAATCGGTAATTTGTGCTGCCGAAGATTCGGTGGAAGTCGCCGCGGCAGCCGATTTGGAGCGACGCGTTCTTCTGGTCGGCGTTCCATTGTCCTGTCCGTTTTGCCGCCGTGGCTGTTCCGCCGGATCCGGGTTCTCGTAGCTCAGCGCGTCAATCACGCCATTGACCACTTCCTGCTGGCTCTGGCCGTCGACCGGAGGAGGGCTCACGTCGACCAAGCCCCAAATGTCCAGCTCGCGCGTCAGCCCCGTCTCGCGCAGCGTCCGCAAGCCGTGGACCATGTTCCAGATCTTGACACCCATAAAGTCTTGCGACTTCTTGACGGTTATGGGCACCGTCGTGTGCACCTCGTCCTCGAGCTTCTGGTGCACCTTGGAGCCCGCGCGCATCGCTGGCGTGCGCGTGCGACGGCCGCCCGGCAGCCGCGTCAGCGTGTATTCGTACTGCAGCTCGCACCAGGCGCCGGCAGTGAGGTCGCTGACAGACAAAGGCTTTTTGGGATAGGTGCGGAACTGGGCGAGCGGTGATGCAATGCTGGCGGAGGCCATGTTGGCGGGCATGCCTGCGGGGCCGGCTGCCGGCCTTTGCGGCAGCGGGCCTGTCTCGTCCGCATTTCGTCTATTCGTTGTAATCCCAACAACAGCCTCGTCCCCATCGGCCATTTCACCGTCGAGGTCGGCCACGACTTGGCTTACTAAACGCTGTTGTTAGAGTCAGAAACGGCCTTTCCCCCTTTTTTGCGACCACAAACAAACTTCTCGTATTCACGTACAATCCGGGTATTCGACGTCGAGGCCGACACGGGCCGCGTCCAAGACAGCAGCCGCGCTTGGATCGTCGTCGTCGGCGACTGGGTCGTGGTGAGACGCAGCCGTGGCACCCACAGCCTCCGCCGCCAGAGGGCCGAGTGGCTGCGAAGCGGCTGCATTGTGTCGTAGTACTGGCGTGTCGGCGACGACCGGCACAAAGAGTCGGGCGCGTGGAGAGGAAGAGGAGACGAGTGCGATGTCCGTCTGCGCGGCGGTCGCGTTTAAAAGCTTGTGCACGTCTTCTTCCAGCGACAGGTCCCAGCCGTAGTCGCTTTCGCTTTCGCTTTCGCTTTCGCTGTCAATGTCAACGTCGACGGTGTCGCCGACCTTCTTGCCGTTGCTGTCGTTACCAGCCACAGGCATGGTGGAGATTGGCAGTCATTTCTGTGGAATTGGCCAAGCAGAGAAAAGAGGAAAAGAATATCGAAAAACACGAACGCGGTCCGGCGTCATGGTGGGAAAGCCATCGCCAAAAGTCTGGCCCGTGGGTTGCGCCTGCCCAATGACAGCACGGCGATTGGGGTGTCGCCTGCCACAGGCAGCAACGACCCTAGCGTAGGGCCCAAAACGGCAAGACCTTTTCGACGCGGACGTCACAGGAACTCACGTGAGGCCATTTAGAGAGCGGTTGAGCATGTTGATACCTGTCCCAGCTGCTGGCGGTGTCTTTTGCTCCTTTTGCATGCATTTGACGGATTGTCCCGTGCAAGTGTGCCAGACCCATAAGCCGCCGACTAACACGCCACAACTGCTGTTTCTGCCAGGCCCATCGTAGCAGCCTACGACAGTACTTTCCATTCCCGTCGGGTGCCTCTTGTGTTGTCTAGCGCGCCTTCCCCCAGCCTTTTTTCTCGTATTCTGGCTCTTTCCTCGACAGGTGACTCGTCGGCCAGGCCAATCGTAGCTCCTTCCTTGTCTGTCGCAAGGTCGTTTCGGCACACATCGCCATCCTGCTGTCCTCCTTTTTCCTCCACAGTCCTCTTTCATCCTTTGTCTTCCTTCTTCCACCTATCCAGCCCTGTATCAGCCTAGACATCCAATCGACCTTGTTCACAGCCTCCACTTCTAGCGGCAGTACCCTTGTTGTTGGCCTCCAAGGCAGCCCGCAATTAAGATACCTCTCTTATTTTCATCGATTTAGAGTGTTCTTTGGCACGACGACATAACACAAAAGATTACAATAAAGGCATGCCTTGACAGCCTGGCGGGTGGTCCTGGCGCTTGGAAAGAAGCCTTGCAGTCCCGAACAAGAATACGGTAAGATCTATGCGGGTGCCTATTAATACCCTGTTAAAGTGGACCATCTCCAGCTTGGTCCCCGCAGGCCTAACAGCGGATGATCCCCAGTCCTCAAGACAGAACCAAGGATATCCCAAGCGCCACAAAATACAGCTTGCGGTGACAGTCGGGCGAGACACAGCCTTCGTCGCGGTGGTCCTATTGTGGTTGTGCCGGTGCCTTGTTCCTGAATTTAGGGTGCCGTTGGGCCTGACCGGCGCCGCTTTGGGTGCTGCTGGCATTACTCAACCACCATCGTCCCACACTCCACAGTTCTAGATACCTCGCATTCCTCCATGTCCCTCCTCGTGTCTCTGCTCTTCCCACCCCTTGTTTCATCTACTGCAGCCGGAACTGGCCCTGCACGCTGTCATTCGGCGGCGAAATCCAGGACGTCCAGAAGAGCGTTGGAGGTTTCCTGCAGCCTTCTGCTCAGCTCGAATACTGCGTCTGTTTTGCTTCTCTTATTTTTCTCGTCTTATTTAGTGTCTGCCTCGTCCTTGTCATTTTCGTTTCTCAATATCTTTCCCATCTTCCCACTATCCCGACTCCATTACTGGCTTTTATTGATCTGTCCTTTGGTAAGGCAGCCACGAAACCGATTCGACAAGACATAAATACGGCAGGCTCGGGACTTGACGTACAAATTGATCAACGTCAATAACCTCCTGCTTGTCACACACCGACAATATATACACTTCTTCGCCATGGTGCTTCGGTGGCTGCCAGGTTTCCGGTCCCCGGTTCAGGCCCCGGCTTCTGGGCCTCAAGCATCAGCAACCGCGTCATCCAAACTGCCTACGTCTGGCTCAAATAAGACCGTCGCCGGACTTGACCCGAATGCCGACGACGACACCATCACCATCTCGCCCCGGCCGCCCCGCTCCCTCATGAGCCTGCCACCGGAGCTCCACATCCAGATCGCCAAGCAGCTCATCTACCCAGATGCCCTGTCGCTCAAGCACTCTTCCCGCTACTTTTACAACTTTGTCGACACCGGCATCGAGCTCAAGGTCAGCTGGCTCATGTCCCGCCGTCTCCTGCACCTCGACTGCCCCAACGACACCCGCTGTGATTTCCGCAGCGACCTCCGTTTCTGCCGCGGCAGTGTTCCGTAAGTTTGGTCCTCGCTTCGCTCGCTTCTTCCCTTTCGCCCGCTGCGTCTCCGCACTGTCTGGTTGTTTCCTGCTAACAACAATAGACTCCTTATGAAGCGCCGTCGTGAGCACATAGAGTGCGAGAGCCGTCCCGACCTCGGCTGCCTCATCTACAATACCAAAACCTGTGTCCACCGCCGCCCGCCTCGTCTACTGCACCGCTGGTTCCGCCGGCGCCTCACTGTCGAGATGTGGTGGATTGTTCTTGCCCTGATACCACTCGCACTCTCTTGGCTCTGGTTTGCCGAACTTTTGTTCTTTTTATGAGAAGTTTACGCCATTTGTTTGGCTGTATTATGTACAGTCTTTATGTGACTGCGCATTTTTGTTTGGATACTGTACTATATATATATTATGCGGCCTTCTGCAACTTTTACGACATTACGACAACACGATTTACACGTCGGGCGCTGCCCGTGGACATGTATTGGTCCTCTTTTAATATTTTATACGGTTTACTTTGCGTACATGTTGGCATGTCGTCTGAGAAAGGTGTTTCTGTTTTCTGTACATCTATCCTTATGCTATGCTCCTCACATGACAATCGAAACTGGGGCGATACGAGATTAGTTTTATACATACAGAAGTAGTTTTCGTACACATCTCCCCCCAGCTCTTATCTCTCGACCATCCGCAGAAGCTTGACAAACTCTCTTCTCGACCGCTTGATTTGATCCCGCGTCATTTCCAACCGAACATCCGGCAAGTTCCGCGCAATGGCCTCGGCGCCCGGGTCCGCCACCTTGATGCATTGTGCCAGTGCATTGTACACAGCCGCCTTGGGATGCACCGGCACCTGCTCGTGCATCATCTCGTGGAAGCACCTGCGCACGGTGTCGATGCACAGGGCCTTGTGGCCGGTCTCGGCCATGCGCCTGAATACGTAGATGTACAGCGTCTGCGACCGCGACAGGCCGTGCTGCGGCGGCATGCGCCAGAGCGCCCAGAACCGGGCCCAGTCCTCGGCGTCTGCGTACGCGCCGAGCAGCGTGATGATCTGGGCGTCCTCGAGGCACGGCAGCTCGGCCTGGTGCAGCAGGGCCTCGAGCGTGGTCTGGAGGTCGTCGGCGGCCTGCGCGGCGGCACTGGCACCCACGGCCCGGTTGTCGGCGTCCCGTGCGTCGGTCGCGTCGGCTACGTCGAGTCCCCGCGGCACGTCGTTGACGGCCTGGAAGCGGCGGTTGCCGTCACGGTCGAGGTGTGCCGGCGCCGCAGCAACGCGGTACCGGGCCTGCTTCAGCTTCTCCGCAAAGACCGCATGGGCTGTGGCGCGGGCGCGGGCGACGCCGTTGTGCCGCGCGAGGGCCGCAATCATGGCCACAATCACGTCCCGCGCAATCGTTTCTTGCCCGCGCTCGTACATGGTGTTGAGCAGGCCCAGGGCCGTCTCCTTTCGCAGATCCAGCAGCGCCGCCTCGCGGGCTGTCTCCTCCGCGGACGGCACCGCGCCCGCGCTCACAGCCACGCTCGGCTCGCGGGTCTCGTCCGCCTGCGGCGTGAACAGCGCCTGCAGCAGCTGTGCGCACAGCGCGCGGTCGACGGGCAGGCCGCCCTGCTGCATCTCGCGGATCAACTCGACCAGGCCCGCCAGGTCGTATCCGCCGTGGCGCAGAATCAGCGCGCGGGCGTGGACGTGCGCCCGCAGCGCCCAGGTCTCGGCGGGCGGCACATCGCGCATGCAGACCGCGCTGGCGGTGATGAAGTCGGACGTCGGCCGGCCGCGGCCGTGTGGCTGCACGGCGCCCAGAGCGTGGACGGCATCCGGCTGGCCGAGGCTGTCGAGGTAGCGGATCAGCTGCTTCTGCAGCTGGGCCTTGCCGGCGGCGTCCTGCGCCAGCCGTGCCCCCAGCTTGGCGACGTCGCTCGCGCCGATCCAGGGCTGCGTCAGGCGGGACACGATGTCCACGTCGGGGCTGGACTGGCCGGCGTTCTCGCGCTCCAGGGTGGCCCGCCGGCGTGCCGATGTCGAGAAGTAGCGGTGCTGCCCGCCAAAGGAACTCGAGGGCGCGCCCGAGGACGATGCGGCTGCCGATTGCACAGTCGACTGTACAGAGACATCCTCGAAACCGGTTTCTGCCCCGTCTTTGGTGTCGGTCTCCTTCCCACTGCGCGCCTCGGCCGCCTCGGCCGCCGCAAGCGTGTATTCCGGCAGCGCCTCGCCCGCGGCAACCCGGGCCTTGACGCTGCGCACCAGCGTCCGCGACCACAGCGCTTCGAGGTCGAGCTGCTTCCGCTTGGCGTCCGTAAACATTTGCACCACGACGGTCGTGCCGGGGGACCGCAGCGCCCCAAAGCCGCTCGTGCGGCCCGCGGCGTCCAGCGTACTGCCCTCGTCCGCCGACCGGCCCAGCGTGCCCGCATGCAGACACACCCACTGCGTGCTGATGCCGTCGTCGACCACATGCGCGGCGGCGTCCTCGCCCCGGGACGCCGCGTCCAGCTGGGCCATGCCACTGGCGCCACTGGTGCCACTGGTGCCCAGCAGCTTGGCCCGCCGCGCCTTGCGCCGCAGCTTGATCTTGAGCTCGTTGCGGCCCAGCAGCCCGTCCGCCGTGGCGTGGACGCCGTGCTTGCGCAGCCAGCGCACCAGGCGGTCGGCGCTGACGTGCAGGTGGCGCTCGCTGCGGGCGCTGCCAAACAGCATGAGAAGGTCTGGGCCGAGGGCGGCGGGCGGGTCGAGGGCGCGCAGGTCGAGCAGGGCCAGGTCGTCGAGGCCGAGGTCGTCGGCGGCAAAGGAGAGCAGAGGCGTCAGCAGGGCCGGCGAATGGGGCGGGATGTCGGGCAGGGGCACATCGTGCGGGGCGAGGGTGGCGTGTTTGGGGACATCGACCTTGAGGTACCAAGGGATGTTGTCGGGCGGCGTGGCCGAGGGGGTCGAGGGGATCGAGGGGGTCCCTTTCGTCTCGTCAGACAAAGAAGTCTGTGTCGCGCCTTCGACATCCTCGTCGTCCTTGTTTCGCACGGGGCGCGAGACAGACAGCCACCGCACTTGTGACAGCTGTGCTGGCCGTGCCGGCCGTGCCGACTGGCCAGGCCGTCGCACCAATGCTGTCTGTGGCCGTGATGGTCGCGTGTGCGAAGATGCTTCGAGTGCAGATCGACAAGATGCCGGTGCCGCAATTTGCAGAACACGCTGCAGCTTTGCCCGGGATGCGACGCTGCCTGTGGCTCTCACTGTCGGCTGCAACATCGCGGGTCTGTGCAATGGCATGCAATTGGTGCTGTTGGGGAGGCTTCTCGCATCCAGCAACTTGAAAAGCACAACTTAGCTTTTGGCTACCAAGTTTTCCGCGGCTAGCAGATGCATTTATGCATTTAATGTTCGAATAAATTTAATTCGTCCTTTGGCCTCGTAGGCGGGCCGGGGCCTCGCATGCCCCACATAGCGGGCCAACTGCCACATCCAGCCAATCAGCACGCCCAGCCGTGCTCTGGGGAGGCCGGCAGCTAGCGGCCAAAATTTCTAGAAGGTCAATTTTTTCAGTGCAGTTTTTTCTGCCTCCTGAAATGAGCATCCATCGACCTGACCTGTCTGCCATTTGTTTTTGTTTTGTGCTTCCACCCATTGGTTTGTGTCTGTATCATATCCATCTGCATTTCTTTTCGTCTCGTTGCTAGCGACCGACTCTCACTTTCAATGGGGGCATAGACGCGCCGCCTCCTTTCCCTTCTTCTTCTCCTCTTGTCATCGCCATCTCAGCTTCTTTTTTTCCTGTCGCGTGAGGACCATCGCGATGCTCACACGACAAGCGGGCGGCCGCCACGCTGTGGCCCTGTGCCGGCTGCCCTCCGCCAACACGATCCCAAGGCTCCCGACACAACCGACACGCGTATTACGACCCCTGCGCCCCGTCGGCGTCGACCGCCGCCTCCTCACAACACGTCCCGAACTGCGGCCATGGCGGCCCAAGACGAAGTTCTACAGCGGCATCGGCTACCTGCCCGAACGCACGCTGGCCACCGCCCTCAACGACTACACCCCGATCCCGCATGACGACGGCGCACATGCCGCCGTGTCTCTCTCGCCGGGCGCGCCGCCCTCTTCTTCCTCCGCCTCGTCCGCTTCCTCTGTTTCCTCTGTCTCCTCCGCTTCCGCCTCACATTCCACCGCACGATACCCTCTCCTATACGCGACATCTCCACCATTACCGCTCTCTTCGTCCGCATCACCACGCGCCCGCACGGCCGTGCCCAGCCCGCTGCCGCTCTGGGAGCTGCGGCCACACAACGTAAAGGCACCGCTCGTGCTCGACGACACCGAGAGCGTCCCCGTGGCGCGCCAGAAGATCAACACGCGCGGTGTCCCCGGCGACGTCGACGAGATGCTGTCGGTGCTCGACGCGTGTCTGCAGGTCGGCAAGCTGGACCGCGCGGCCCTCGTGCTCAAGCGGCTGGGCCAGCCCGGGTTCGCGACGCCCGACGTCGACCTTGTCGAGCTGCACAACCGCTACCTGCGTGCCGTCGTCGACCAGCTGCTCGCCGACCCCGACCTGGCCACCGCCGAGGAGCTGCACAAGTGGTTCGAGCTCGAGATGCGCGGCAAGCGCGCCCAGCAGACCCCCGAGACCATTGCCTACATGCTCAAGGCGTCGCTGCTGACGGCCCACGGCGCGCGGCGCGAGCGTCTGGTCGACCGCTACATGGGCCTGGCCCCGGGCGACGCCGGACTCGAGGTGCTCTACATGACGGGCATCCTGAACGACCAGGACCGCGCGGCCATTACCGACATCTGCCGCACGTACAACCTCGAGTCGTTTGCCGGCGGCGATGCCGAGGCCACGACGCTGTTTGAGGAGGCGCTGCGGTCGATTGATCCGGAGGGTGTGGCGGCCGGCGCGGAGGCAGCGGAGGCAAGCCATGCGGCCACTGACGCATCCGCCTCGACTCGTGCGTCTGCCCCCACGGACGTGCCTGACATGCCCGACACGTCCGCCACACCCGACATGCCCGCCACGCCCGACACGCCGCCTGTCCTCGGCACGCCGCAAAAGGGCATGGGCCTGCGCATGCTCAAGCAGACCCTCAGCCTCTTCGCCGAGATCCCCGAGGGCCGCGACATTGCCGGCCTCAACCTGTCCGAGCGCCGCGAGATCCAGTCGCGCCTCGAGCGCGACTGTGTCGACGCGGCCGTCGAGCGCTGGAAGGAAGAGAACCAGGCGCTGCTCAAGATGGGCCTCAACACGTCGCTGACGACCGCCTCGCTCAACGCGCGCCTCTACGAGTGGCACAAGGACCTCGAGCTGCGCCTGTCGCAGGAGCTCAAGAAGATTGAGCTCGCCGAGGCCTCGGGCAGCAAGAACAAGGAGGACCTGGACCGCTGCCTGTACGGGCCGTTCCTGCGCCAGTCGCTGCCCAGCCGCCTGGCCGCCGTCACCATTGTCAGCACGCTCAGCGGCATGGCCATGCAGGGCGCCGACAAGGGCATCGCCATCAGCAACATCATTACGCAAATCGCAAAGGTCGCCGAGGAGGACATTCGCCTGCAGCAGCACACCAAGATGATGGCCGCCCGCGGCCAGAAGACGTCCGCCCGCGCCGCCGCCAAGACCGCCGCCAAGACGGCCCTGCGCAAGGCCATGCGCCCGGCCAAGGTGTCGCTGCAGCATGCCGGCGACGCCGCTGAGACGGCCGCCGCGTCTGCTGCCGCTGAAGCCGCCAACAGCACCCCTGCCACCACTCTGGAACGGCCCGCCGACCGCGACGTCGCCTGGCCCATCACCATCAAGGCCAAGGTCGGCGCCGCCCTGCTGTCGATGCTCATGGAGACCGCCAAGGTCACCGCCGTCAAGGAGCACCCCGAGACGCGCACGCTCGTCTCCCAGCAGCAGCCCGCCTTCAGCCGCCTCAACCAGCTGCGCCGCGGCAAAAAGGTCGGCGTCCTCGTCGCCAACAGCACCCTCGTCGACCTCATGAAGCGCGAGCCCCGCGGCGACTTCCTCGCCCGCCACCTGCCCATGGTCGTCGAGCCCCAGCCCTGGCAGACCGTCGACAAGGGCGGCTTCCTCGAGTACCCGGCGCCGCTCGTGCGCGTCAAGGACTCGCGCAAGGACCAGAAGATCTACGCCGAGGCCGCCATTGCGCGCGGCGACATGGACCAGGTCCTCAAGGGCCTCGACGTGCTCGGCCGCACCGCCTGGAAGGTCAACCGCCCCGTCTTCAACGTGCTGCTCGAGGCCTGGAACACGGGCGAGGCCATTGCCGACATCCCGCCCATCGCGCCCGACATTGCCGTCCCCCCCGAGCCCGACTCGTCCGAGGATCCCATGAAGCGCCGCACGTGGCTCAAGGCCGTCAAGGCCGCCGAGAACCAGCGGTCCGGCCTGCACTCGGTGCGCTGCTTCATGAACTTTCAGATGGAGATTGCGCGCGCCTTCCGCGACCAGACCTTTTACTTCCCGCACAACGTCGACTTCCGCGGCCGCGCGTACCCGATCCCGCCCTACTTCAACCACATGGGCGCCGACCACGTCCGCGGCCTGCTGACCTTTGCCCAGGGCAAGCCGCTCGGCGCCGACGGCCTGCGCTGGCTCAAGGTGCACCTGGCCAACGTGTACGGCTACGACAAGGCCAGCCTGTCCGACCGCGCCGCCTTTGCCGACGAGCACGTCGACCAGATCCGCGACGCCGCCACGAACCCGCTGCGCGGCGGCCGCTGGTGGCTCGCGGCCGAGGATCCCTGGCAGTGCCTGGCGGCGTGCATGGAGCTGACGGCCGCGCTCGCGCTCGACGACCCGACGGCCTTTGTCTCGCACCTGCCCGTCCACCAGGACGGCACCTGCAACGGCCTGCAGCACTACGCCGCGCTGGGCGGCGACACCTGGGGCGCCAAGCAGGTCAACCTGGTCCCCGGCGACCGCCCGGCCGACGTCTACTCGGCCGTCGCCGACATTGTCCGCGCGAGCATCGCCGAGGACGCCGCCCACGGCGACCCCAACGCGCGCGCGCTCGACGGCAAGATCAAGCGCAAGGTCGTCAAGCAGACCGTCATGACCAACGTCTACGGCGTGACCTTTGCCGGCGCGCGCAAGCAGGTCCTCAAGCAGCTGGACGCGCTGTACCCGACGCTGCAGGCCGACACCGACATCCCCGCCATGGTCCTGGCGTCCTACATTGCCACCAAGATCTTCCAGGCCCTGTCGACCATGTTCAGCGGCGCCCACGACATCCAGCACTGGCTGGGCGAGATTGGCGGCCGCGTGTGCCGCGCGCTGACGCCCGACCAGATTGAGCGCATCATTCACAACGAGCCGCACCAGGAGGCCACGGCCGCGGCAGCGGCAGCGGCAGCGCCCAAAAAGTCGCGATCCAAAGGCAAGGGCAAGCCTGGCGCCTCGGGCAGCACGCCGACCAAGACGATGAAGCGCGAAAACGACGAGATCCTCGGCCAGTTCCGCTCGACGCTCGTGTGGACGACGCCCCTGCAAATGCCCGTCGTCCAGCCGTACCGCAAGGCCGCCAGCCGCACCATCGAGACCTGCCTGCAGGACCTGATCTTGTCGGTCCCCGCGCGCAGCGACCCCGTCCACAAGCGCAAGCAGCTGCAGGCCTTCCCGCCCAACTTTATCCACTCGCTCGACGCCAGCCACATGCTGCTGTCCGCCCTCGAGTGCGACGCCCTGGGCCTGCAGTTCGCCGCCGTCCACGACTCCTTCTGGACCCACGCCGCCGACGTCAACACCATGAACCGCGTCCTGCGCGACGCCTTTGTGCGCATCCACAGCGAGGACGTCGTCGGCCGCCTCGCCCGCGAGTTCGAGGCCCGCTACCGCGGCTCGCTCTACCTCGCCCAGGTCCACCGCGGCAGCGCCGTCGCCAAAAAGATTCTCGCCCTCCGCAAGGCCTCGCCGCGCATGTCGCTCAAGGACGAGCTCGTCCTCGAGCACACGCGGCTCGCCCTCCTGGCGTCGGACGACCCCGCGCGCGTCGCCCAAGGCCGCAGCATGGTGACGCCCGCGAGCCTCTTTGCCGAGGCGGCGGCCGCCACGGACGACGCCGACGCCGTGGTCGAGGCCGAGGACATGTCCGAGTTTCGTCTCGGAAGCATCCCCGCCGACGAGGCGGCCGCGCAAGAGAAGCTCATGCAGGCCGCCGCGGCCGCCACCAACAAGGACGCCCGCGGCACGAAGGCGGGTTCTACGAAGGCGGGCTCTACGACACCTACGACGTCGGCGACCGGCCGCGGCCGCAGCATTACCGGCGGCATGAGCCTCGACGGCGTGGGCTCGGCAATGGGCGACGTCGCGACCGGTGACGAGATGATGGCGCTTGAGGAGGACGACGAGCTGGCCCTGCTCGAGGACGCCGACGCCGACGCCGACATCGACGAACTGTCCCCCACCGATGCGGCGCTCGCCGGCACGGGCCACTTTGAAGCCCAGCTGCGCGGCCTCAAGAAGCCCTTGACCAAGGCCAAGAAGGACAAGACGGCCGCCGCCTTGGCCCGCCAGACGCCCGTCCAGGTCTGGGTCCCGCTCACCTTCCCGGCCATCCCCGCCAAGGGCGACTTTGACGTGCGCCGCCTCAAGGACAGCGACTACTTCTTTTCGTAGGCTGGTCCTTTTGTTCGAGGCCCGAGACGCCCGCCCCCCACCCCGTATGGGCCGCCCTCTGGTCGGCCCCTCCTTCTCTCCCACCCCTCCCTCCTCCCTCGACTCGCCTCCCCCTCACGTTGTACATTATGAACTGGGCGTTACGAATGGTGGTACGATTTTTTTTCGCTTGTATTTTCTTCTGGGTTTCTGTTTGGTGCGGGAGGCTGATTGGTCGGTGTGTTGGTGAGCTTCGAGGGGGAAGCTTACGCATGGGTGGCGCGGGTACATCCTCGACCAGCCGTGTCGATGATAAATCTACGACTACGAGTCGGTGGTACGAGGTACAAGAGTACATTGGGGAGAGTTTCTATGCATTTTCTGGTGTCCTGTTTTTTTTATTTGTGGCTGCTTTTTTTGGCATCCCCATTCTCCATCTGGCATCACTGGCATATATAAAAGCATGTTTTATGGGGCCGAGGCAACGAGAGGGTCTTGCTTTCTTCTCTCGGATCTCTTGTATAGATGTACAAAACTTGAACGAAATGATAAATAATAATTAAAAATGCCGAGCAGCAGCACAATGTGACTGGATGTGGATTGAAGGAAATTGAGAAGCGTTCCAAGTATGAAATAGATGGAAACTCCGCGAGTATCGATTTGGGAAGTGATTCGGCCAACGTGTACAAGTAGAGGTAGAAGCAGAAGGTGAGAGCAATGGAACATCATAGAAACCAGCGCATCAGTTTAAATACGTCAGGGACGTGAAGTAGCACAGTAATGGCCAGTCCAACGCATCTCCTATTTGTCCTGTTGGTAACGTGTGTAATGCGGCGTTAGCCTTGTAGCTGTAGCCTGTAATTACAGAATAAGCCATACCCAGACTCTGCGTCCAATCAGGCAGCGCCAAAGCCACGTCCACCAAAAACGACCAGCGGCTCTTTCCTCTTCCGTGTACTACGGACTAGCAGCAACCATCACCAACATTCTCTGCCATCTACATCTATTCTTGTATTCAGACTGCGGCCATGGCATTATTCACCGCCCATCACCACGTTGCCTTTCCGGAGTTTTCAGTATGCTCTGGTCTCCCAAGTTGCCCATACATCTGGCAATCGCCATTAAAAGCTGGGTGGTGGTTCTTGCTTCCTTCCTTCCCCCCCACTTTTTCGTTCCTTCCTTCTATCCTGTTTTCCCTGCTTCCTTCCTTCCTTCGTTTCGTTTTTACTTCCTCCCTCGTCCCTTTCTCCTCTCCTTCCTTTTTAAGGATTGCTCTTCCACCCATCTTTTCTCCTTCTCCCGAGTTCATTCGATCGAACCCATCCAACTTTTCAATTTATTCTCACCAAAACAACCGCCATGAAGTCCAATGCCGCCCTCGCCGCGATCGGTTTCGGCATCACCGCGTATGTTTCCTCTCAAAGTCGCCGTCGCCTCTACTTGGAATAGGAGCAAGTGCATCTAACGAACCCCACCTTAGCTGGGCTGCTCCGGCCGACACCTGTCATGACTACTCTGTTGGAAAGAGTCAGTGCTACACGGCCACCATCACGGTCGGCGAGGGTATGTTCACGCCCGTTGTGCTTGATGTTGTCATTGGTGTTGCTGTCCACGGCCATCCCTCACGATATCTAACTCTCCGCAGTCAACCCCTGCCCGTATCAAGAGTGCCCGTTCCTGCACCGCTGCCGCGCCACGCCGCTGACGACGAGCACCATTGTTCCCATTCCCTGCAAGTATGTTCAGTTCTCTGCCTCGCTCATCTCTTTTGTTACCGTCGCATCATTGACCACAACCAGGAACCCCTGCTGCCGCAATACTGCCACCAAGACGGTCACCACGTCATGCGGCACCTGCCCCACGACCTGCACTGCGATGTTCACGGAGACCATCCACCGCTACGAGGATAAGTGCGATGAAGACGGGTTTGCCCTCAGCTACGACGCTGCAGCTGCTGCTGTCCCGGCCCACGTCGATGCCACTCCTACTGCTGAGCCCGGCCGGGGTGGCGTTGCTGCTCCGAACCACCAGCCTCCTCCTGGGCCCACCGCCCGCCCCATTGATGACTTGGTTGAGGTCGAATGCAACCCTCGTGTTCTTCAGGAGATGCGTCAAAAGATTGAGGAGTTTGAGACCAGCCCTCCTGAGCCTGACGTGATCTTGGACCTGCGACAGCAGCTGCGCGAGCAGTCGGCCATTATTTCGGCCTACCGACAGTTGAATTTCGTGGAAAATACAAAAGTAGAAATGGGTCTCCATCGATACAAGCATGTCAATGAAGAGCAAATTGTTGAGGACCTGAGACAGACGACCGTCGGACAGCACTACCGGAAGCGTTCGCCGCCACCGCTGTCGCTCGGCCCAGACGGCTCGGTAGCCACACCGCAGCCGACGCACCACTTTGGCCCCGGCGGTAGGCGCCCGGATGCCACCACTGAAGGGGGTGACGCGGCGGTCGAGACGGCCACACGGACGCCGACGCCCGAGGCTCGCAAGGACTGGCGCCCTCTTGTGGCGGAGCCTGACTATGAGACTGATGTCGAAAGCAAAGCGGACCATCCCTCTCGCCCCTTGGTCAAGAAGCCTGGATTTGCGATTGAGGCCGAAGATGAGCTGGATTCCTCGTCGCCGCCCGTCAACCACATCCCTCGTGCCAAGATTCTCCAGGATGAGCCCGTTGACGAGGCTGTCGAGGATGCCGAGGCCGCTGCTCCCTCTCCCGTGACCAAGGACGATGATACCAAGACGCCTACCGAAGATGAGCTATTCCCGGAGCTGTGGCACTCCAAGTGGGGTCACGGCCCTGTCAACAACTGGCCCTCGCCTTCCACCCCTGATTCCCTGCCGCCCGTCCTGGGCTCGCCTCAAGGCCTGCCTACGGACGGTGGTATGGCTGATGCAGCCCATGCAGCTGCAGAAACTGATATGCCCACGCCTACGCGGGCTCCCATCGCTGCCCGTAGACCGCCCTCACACCTGGGGCCTACGCCCTTGGCCGCGTACAAGATCCACGAGGAGGTCGCTGAGGCTGCGGCTGCTCATGATGTTGCTTATTGGAAGAAGTTTGGCGAGGAGCAGGCTGCTAAGCAGGCTGCTGCCGAAAAGGCTGCTGCTGAAAAGGCTGCTGCTGAAAAGGCAACTGTCAAAAGGGAAGCTTCCGACGAGGCCGCTGCTCCTGAGCCTGCGGACAGCGCCAACGGTGTCAACGACGGCAATGATGGTTATAAGGACCCTTACCCCGACCCCGATACCGTGGGTGGCGTGCCCAAGTACGAGAAGCCCCATCACCCTCACCACATCCCGCCAAACAACGTCTAGACGACCGGTCCCTAAGGCCCTGGCACTGGCCCCATGGCACGCGATGTTGCCGGTGATGAGACTGCCACCGAGAACAAGGTCGAGAGGAACGGTGGCCCCGATGTCAACCACGGTCTCGCCAGTGACCCTACCGACTACGACGGCTCTATTATCGAACCGCCCCCACCGCCGCCCACCACCGGTGGTGTGCCCTAGTTCCAGCACAACGAGGCCGAGGTCGAAGAGGCTCGCAAAGCTGAGGCCGCCGTGGACAAGGACACCACCCTGTCCCCGCCGACGCACTTGCCGCATCCCAAGATCAGTCTGCCGCCCCGGGCCAAGGGGACACCGGAGACGCATGTCCGAGGTCAGCCATACCTGGGCGTTGTTGACGTTGAATCTATGGGATGCTTTTTATCTTTCATTTTAAGATATTGATATGATGACAACCTCGGCGAAGTCTTTTTGTTTCATGGGTTGTTTTTCTTCGTTGCTTTGTGCCTCTTTGGCTAGGCTTCGCAACTTTCGTCTTCTTTTTTTTATTTGTCCTTCGTTTTACTTGCCCTTTTTTTTGTCATCTTCGTTTTCCCCAATATTCCACCTTTCCGTCGCATTCCAACTTACCAAAGGTCGACGTGTTGAATGATACCCATACCACTGATATCCCCTATGCCCCTGGACCCCACCACTAATGTTTAATGTTACGCTGATTTCCCAACGACCAAAAAAAGGGGAAGCATTCAATAGAAGGTTTCAAAAAGGTTAATTAACTGGTAGTTTTCCTTCTGTTCGTTTTTCTTTTTTTTTTCTTTATTTCAATTCCTTGCAAGATGTTCGCTTGTTGTCTGGGGGTCAATGGAAATAAGAAAGATCCGACATTAAAAATAACTCTTCTATGGCTGTATTTAAATAGACCCAAAAACATAAATCATAAAAAACCACAAATGGCAACTAAAATGTATGTCGTAAATATCGTCAAATACGTCTAAATCATCACGCTAATCTACCACTGAAAACTCTCTTCCAGGTAGTCAATATTGCCGGCGTCTCGCCGGCCCAACACATCCACCACGGACTTGCGTGCCTCGTCGGCCATACGTCCGGGCCCGCAGGCAACCACGGCAAGTTTGCGGTCCGCGCTGCCCACCCGGTTGCGGCCACGGCGGGCAGCCACCTCCACCTCGCTGCGCACGTCGGGTCGGCCATAGAGGAGACGCACGTTGTGAGGCAAGGGCTCACCAAGGATGGTGTCGCCCAGCGGAAGTTGTGGTCGGTCGACACCATTCCCATTCTTTGGGCGGTCGTGGCTGGCGCGGACGCTGCCATTGACGGTCTCGTCCTCGTCGTTTTCTTCGCTCGCATGCCCAACAGGGCTACTCCCGCTAGGTTTGGACTGGGTAACATAAATGTCCATGGTAACGCGCGTCCTGCCCATGCCACTCGTGGAATTGTCTCTGTCGTGACCAAATATGTCACCAAGGTCTTCCCGCAGCACTTCGGCCGCAAACGCGGCCTCGCGGACGGCCCAGACGATGCGAATATGCTTGAGACGGCGGCCCGCAGCCGTCGCCTTGCATAGCGTGTAATCACGACCAAGGCCTGTCAGATGCGACAAGGCCACAACAATGCCGCTGCCGCCGACGACAAAGAGGACTGAGTCGTACTCGTCATCGAAGCGCTGGGCGTGGCCGTACGGCCCGTCGATGACAACTCGAAGATTGGCTGGGGCTGGTCGGAGGGAGACAGAGCCGGCGGAACAGTCTGTAGATGAGTAGCCCGGATTGGCCGCGGCGGCGGCTTTGTCCCGTAGCCGACCCGTGAAGCTGTCGTAGGGGCGGATGAGGAAGGTCATGGACGAGGCGGCATGGGCTGGGGGAGAGACGGCCGAGGAGGCAACGGAGTGGGCCGTGGCGGCCATGCGGCTGCAGGAGGGTCTCTGCTCATGGTTGGACGGTGGCTGATATGGATTGTGACAACAGGTGCTGCCGTAGTTGGTGTTCGACAGCAGGCGGCTGTTTTCGGACGTGTCATGTTCGACAGCTGTTGGTGTGTCTGCGTCAGTATCCACGCCGAGATTAACATCCTCAGTGTCACTTTGTGCGTTGGACTGGTTTTCGAGCTCGACCATCTGCGGCGGTAAGCGGCGCTTTTGGGGGCTGATCGACGAGGGAGCATTTGCATCGACATCGGCATCCACGTCCGGAATCGGGCCCCTTTTCTTCTCGAGCGAGGTCACAGTGGCCACGGTAAACGGATGACTCTCCCAAAAGCGCTTGTCGTTGAGCACATGCAGGTAGTAGAAGGTACCTGGCTGCGGCTGGTAGAGGCTCGCATTGTACGGCACGACGACACGTACAATGTTGGATTGCGGATCGTAGGTAGCTTGGGCACGCGTCTTCCAGAAAAGCGGGTTGAAGGCAACGATACGCAGGGCACGCATGGCGCGATCGGCTACCCACACGACGATGCACGCCCAAAAGTAAACGTCGTACTCGCCATGGAAGATGGACACGTGGGCCAGCATGCCAAAGAGGATGAGGATGGAAAAGCCAATATGGACTAGCAAAAAGACCTCGTAGGCATGGCGACGTATCCAGTAGAGCGAGAGACCCAGGAGCAGTGACATACAAATAGTGGCGACGCCGCCCGTCCACCAGAAGAAGCGAGCCCAATAGTTCAGGAAGCTGGCGAAGCCGCCGTCTTTCCAGACGAGAGCAGTGTAACCAATGGAGTGGACAATGGCCTGGACAGTAGCGATGCGGGCGACCCAGCGGTGGAAGTTGTTGTAGGTGCCAAAGTCCCAGCCAGTCAGCCACAGGAGGATGTTATTGCGCATGCCAAAGAGCCAGATGAGCGGGAAGTTGGCCCAAGAGATGATACCGGTGCGGTCCGAGACATAGCGCAGGAGTTGTTGCGTGATAGTGGGCCAGCTGGAGGCGGTGAGTATGCTGTTCAGATGGAAAACAAGAAAAGACGATACCGTGGGAACTTACTACATGTTGCCTGTGAAGACACGGTAGCCATGAAGGCAGAAGACCGTATTCATGATGGCAAAGATCAAGAGCGTGAAGGACTGCACACGCGGCGGCACGGTGTACCAGCCAAAGTCTTGTGAGCAGCGCTGGCCAAAGGTCGCGGGCATCGTCAGGTGGCGCTGCAGCCAGACACGCGGCCGGCGGGCAAAGCTGTGGCCAGCTGGGGTCATACCCTGCTTCTGGTCGTAGGAGTCGCGGCCTGTAGCATCGATATCGCCAAGAACAGGATCATCATCCTCGGCCTCTTCCTCGTCAACCTGGTGGTAACCCGTCGTGGTCCGACTGTGGAGAGTAGGTGAGAGAAAGCGACGACGCCGACGTAGGTTCTTCACAACGGTCATGCAAACGCGGTTGCCCATGCCATACAGGATGACGACAACCCAAAACATAATCACAGCACGGCTTATGAAGCACGTCAGCTAAAGATCACCAGTGGGTCACAACAGAAACCAAAAAAAAAAAAAAAAAAAAAACTACACCCATAGCCATGGTGGTACTTGCGGACGTAGATCAGGTCCGCCAGCGTGTCATACGAGTTCTCGTACAGCTGCTCGGAGAGGACGACGACTTCTGAGAGGACTGTGCCGCCCACAGCTTCGGGACGCTGCAGTCGACGCAGCCCTAGCACCTTGTCGGGCGGGTAGTCGGCCAGCACGCCCTCAAACGAAGGCAGCGGCTCGTTGCGCAGAGCGGTGCAGCTCCGGTTCATCTCGTCGAGGCTGCCAGCACCGCGGCCGTCCGAGCAGTACCCGCGCAGACAAATGAACAAGGACGCCTGCATCAGCGGGCTGTAGCAGTCCTTGACGCGGAAGCCGGCCTCGGGCGGGACGTCTACAAAGGTGGGCTCTCGCAAGGCCAGCTGGCAGGCGTGGAGGCATGTCTCCGGGTCGGAACGGACGACGACGGGAGCGGGTGCAGAGCCAATGTGTCGCAAGGATGTGAGGGAGTACGTGTCGTCGCTGGAGACGCCGAGGCCGTCGACATCGATGTCGTTAATCGATGGCGAGGCGTGAGCCATGACGCCGGCCGTCCAGAGTCCGGCGACGACGCACAACAGCGGCAGAAGAGGCCGGCTGCTGGTTTTCCGTTTCCTCATGGCGATCGAAGGTATTGTGAAGGGTGCAGGTAAGAGCGACACGACGAGAAAACGAATCCTCGTGACTGGAACAATAAACCGGCGTCAAAAAGCATTATCAGGATGCCATCGAAAAGGAGAGAAGAGACGATGCAAAAGGAGGGGATATGTCAGGGGGTTGACAATAGGCAGGAAGGACAGTAGGTTGAGGCAGGTGCTCCAGGCATCTCTTTCCCCGTTGGGCATTGTTTTGTTTGTCCGTCTGGCAGGTGCAGTGCTGTGAAAGGAGGCAGGAGCGTCCCCCAATTCCAGCAGTAGTACCCTCAGACAACCTACACCCGGATCCCGTTCCTTCCCTTCTTTTCCCGTGAAGTTCGCCAAGTCCCCCCTCCACCGACTCGTGTGTAAAAAGAACGCTAACATGCAAAGATCCATCTTATCAGATCCATCTGTGGCTGTTGATTGGCCATAATAACTCCACCCGAGCGTGGGCTACGTATCTGATTGGCCTGCAGCGATCTTCCGGGTTCTTCTTGCCCAACTGGCGTTGTTTTGGTGCGAGCCGCGGTTGCCCTTTCCCAGATCGTCCCCGTCAACTCTCAACTCCTGGGGCGCGCACCAAAAATGGTAAATACGAGAACGGCCGAAACCGGGGAGCCGACTGATGGCAAATCTCCTGTTTCGCCATCTTACTTCCCATTGTGCCCACCTTTTTCGCGTCCGTTTTGCTGTTTCCAGCTTCTCCGGTGGACATGGCGTGCTTTTCAAGCCGTGGAAAAAGTGGAAAGGGGAAACGATGCGCCCTGGTGTGTTCTCGGAAGAGGGAATTAAAGACTTTAAAACAGCATTAAACGACTTGGATCTACTAACTGCTGCGTGGTCTGTCAGCATTTGATCTGATAATCATCTGCTAAAAGAATCAGATAAAAATCTGATTAGTCCAGAGAATCAGATAAATACGACCCGGTCAGGTGCGATCACACATTTCCTCCACAAACGACGACGAATATGGAGCACTCAACGCACTGAATAGGTTATCTAGACACCTTAGGAAGCCATTCGAGCGAGACCTTAAGCCAAGTGGCGCTCACAAATGTTGATGGTTAACATGCAATTCATGTGTCTACTACTAAGAAGCACATAAGAAACGGAGAATGAGCGGCGAACGAAAGAGGGTATGGCGTTATTGAACGGACAGGCAGTAATCGACGTAAGCAGTAATCGACGTAACGGAGATAAAAAGTAAAAGAGCACGGACACGCTGAACAACACCTAGCCGCCGTGTCGTGGATTCCACACAGACGTTTGCTGTTCTGGTGACGGCACGACGCCCATCTCGACATCGCCGCTCCGCCGCTGCGGCGGCTTTTCAGGGTCGTTGGGACCATCCGAGACTGCAGTGACTGCCGTGATCACGACCGCCGGTTTGGGCGGAGACAGCCCGCCCTCCTCGTGGCTACTGAGGTCATCGTCGTCGATGTCGATGTCGTCGCAGTCGGACGACGAATGCAGGGAGTGGTGGGTGTGCCGAGGAGGGCGGCCATGGCGAGCAGGTCCCGACGGGAGGGATGCCATGGCCATGGCGTCGGCGGACTTGTTGCTGTTGGCGCTGCCGCTGAGGCTGCCAATCGTGTCGACATGGCCACTCGACTGGCCACTCGACTGGCGCGCGTAGGGGTGGTGCGGCGACATCCTGGCCGACTTGCCGGCGGCAAACGCGGCGCTGGTGCTGCTGCGTGCCGGACTGGCATTGCCAAAGACGCCGGGCCAGAACTTGGCAAAGAGGGAGCGCAGGGGCGGCAGCGAGACGCAGACGATGCCAATGGTGCACTCGGCAATGGTCCACATGACGGACGAGACGAGGTCGTCTATGTTGGTGAGCCAAAAATAAATAAGTAAATAATAATTAAATAAATACGTGACACACGGGGCACTCACGAGTCACATCGATGGGGTCGTAGAGGACGTGCAGGTAGGCGAGGCGGACGATGGAGGCGATGCAGGCGAAGCCGCCCAGGAGGAAGAGCACGGAGATGACGATTTTCTGGCGCCGCGGCAGCTGCAGGCGCCAGAACAGCGGGATGGGCACAAGGCACAGAATCAGGTCGGTCGTCACGTTGATGGCGGTGCTCGCGTACAAAAAGTTGACAAAGGTGTAGCAGTGCGCGGCGCTGTCGTTGAGAGACCAGGCGCCGGCGACGGGGATGCACTCAAAGATGGTGGCCGGGACCGAGGCCAGGCCGAGGCCGACGGTGACGCACGCGGTCGCGTACAGCGTGGTCTTGAGGAGCCCGCGCGGCGCAAAGATGTGGAGGTAGGAGGCGATGATGGACAGCTTGGTAAAGGCGATGGCGGCCGCGTAGAAGATGTTGGCGACAAACATGAGCTGGATGCAGACCTTGAGCTGGTCGAGGATCGTGGCCCGGTCCAGGTTCCAGACGTGCTGGCCGAGGCCGTACTTGGTGGCGGCAATGACAACCGAGCAGACAACGAGCGTGAAGACCGAGGCCAGGATGACGAGGTAGTCGTCGAGGAAGAAGCGGCCGACGGAGTAGCGGCGCACGGTGAGGCGCAGGACCACGGTGGACGTGATGAGGGCCATGGCGACGGCGGAGACGACCGTGACCAGCGCTTCGAGGGAGGACTTGCTGGCGAGGTCGAGCTGGGCGATTTGGGCGGGCGTGGGGTTGGCCGTGTACAACGCGTCCCGGCGGCGGTGGGCGGCGGCCATGGCGGCGGCCAACAGTGAGCCAGAGCCGGGGCCCTGCCGCTCGAGAATCATGTTGACGCGGACAAGGGCATGCGCAGGGGTCGGCGCGCAGTCGTGATCGATGCGGAGGAATGCACCAGAGGGTTGCTGGTTGAAATCAGATGCCGGATGGTTGACGAAGAGAGCAGGAAATGAAGCAGAAAATGTAAAAGGCGAATAGAACAGGTTGGACAAACAAACGAGGAAAGAAAGAGTGCGTGGAGAAAGGAGAGAGATACGGGAGAGACAATGCGGACAGCGCTCGAGGAGATGGACGGGCACTGCGGTAGAAGTAATACTTGGATAGATGGGCGAGACAAACGGCGGAGAAATACACGACGAGACAACAAACGACACACATCCATCCGCCGTCTAGATCATGGCAAAGAGGCGACCTGTGGACTGTGGACATGTCGTGTAAGTGGACAGGAAGCAAGGGTGCGGTCTACAAAAGATACACGGAGGATCTGCTGGACCTGGCTGAACCCCTGTCCCTTGCCCAACGTCCCAACGCAGCTCCAACGCCATAGCGCCCTGCATCTGCTCGGCACTCCATAGTTTGTGCATTGAATGGGTGGGTGCAATCAGGGACTCCGTACAACGTACGACGTGGCCGACGGAGTACATTGACATTGGCAAGACACTTTTGTGTTTGTGCGCGTGTGGACAGCGAGACATTGGGGATATGTGGGACGGAGCACGAGAGAAGACGCGACTGGCGGCGTTTGGGAAAGGACAAAAAAGGAACAAAAAAAAAGAAACATATCAAGACAAAACAGGAAGACATAGCGTCGATCATATATGCTAACTGTACACAGGCAAGGCGCGACAGTAGCAAGACATGCAAGGAGGAGACGGGGCTGAAAAACGAGTAAAAAACGAGTAAAAAACGAGTAAAAGCGAGACAAACCGAGAATGAGAGACATTCCCGTCAATAGTCGATAAGTAGTGGGCGTTGAGAGAAACTGAAAGACGAAAAACTGTACAATGATTGTAGGCTCAGGAGAAGCGCAACACAATGAGGGCGGCCAGCTGGATGTGACTGCGTGATGAGAATGTGGCTTGCCAGTTAGCCGGGCAAGACAAGAGGGGAATGAAAAGAAAGAAAGATTAAAGTATCACACCAACACGCCTCTTGTCCGCCCGTCACACTGTCCTGTCTCGTTAATTTCGTTTGTGCTGCGTGAACGATGTGAGTGGAAAGCTCTACGACGCAACGTCAATCAAATTGATCGACAGAGGCAGTCTCCCGCTTCCGCTCCCAAGCCAGTGGCCATCTCCTCGAGCCGCATGCAAGGGGCACTCTTGCATGCGACGTTTGCACTGGCCTACTTTTGCCTCCACGTTCGACCAAGAGAGTAGCTCAACCAGGGCAAATGGGCGTAGCAACGTCAACTGTCTTCCTCTCCAGCCAAGTAAGGAGATGGAAAGGCAGTGCAGACGCCGAGTCCATTTGCTGCCCAGGCTTGGCTGGACGTGGAGACAAACGACAAACTGAGACATGCATATCCAGTTTCTCGTTTTCAGTTGGATCGTTGCCCTTGGGAAGTCGACTGCTGATCTTTGGGGTAGAAACGTGCTTCGTTCCAAGGCGAGCCAGGCTTACAGCATCGACTTTCTCGTCTCTCTCTTTTTTTTTATTTTATTTTATTTTTTGGCGTGGCCACCATCGTGCTACTTATTTTGTCTTTTGTCATATTCCCCGCTGCATCGCAACCCATATCCCTGGTCACTTCTCATACCATTTCTTACTTCCCGAGTCGATTGCAAAATACGGCGTCCCAATACCTTTGTCACTTGCTGCCCCCTGCTCGATGTGACTCCCCGCCTTGCAGTCGTTCTCTTGTTGCGCTGCCTCTGTGTCCACCACATACTCCGATTGACCTGCGTTCCCTAGATGGACGCAAGGGATGTGCGCCCTGCCGGGACGCATGCTCGTTCAGGATAGACACATCCTTGGTCTCCTGCCATGCACTAGTGGTCTCATGGCGTCCGTGGGTCAAGCTGAGACCAGCCAAGGCAGTCGGAGGGCATCCGAGCTGGCGCCTTTCTTCCATGCCATATTTCCCGCCCTTTTCCCGTCCTTCACACCAAGGAACTCGTGCGTGTAAACATCACCAACGCTTTTTGCTCATATTGTCCATGGTAAACATAAACATCCATGGCCATCTCTGTCTTATCCGATCTATCCCAAAAGTCTACCGAAAATGCATTACATTCGCCTTACAATATTACACAGCCCTCGTACATGAACTTGTCGTCTCTGTCCACCCCAGTCACCTTCAACCTTCACGTATACCGCGTCCGCCCGGTGCTGTTGCTCATGGACGAGGCGGCACTGCTGCTCGGCGGCCGCCGTCCGCCGCCGCTGCTGGCGCCCTTGAAGATGCTCTTGGCGGACCAGCCCCCGGTCTTGACAGGCCGCAGCGGCGCCAGGGACTCCTGCTGCAGGGTCTTGGTGAGGATGTGCGACTGCGGGAAGACGCCGAAGCGGCCCTTGCTGTTGGTGCCGGCCCAGCACCAGTGGTCGGCGTAGAGGCACTTGACGTTGGAGATGGTCTCGCCCTTGTCAAACGACAGCCACAGCGACGCCTCGCCGCCGGCGTTGAGCACGCTGCTCGCGTCGTGGCCTTTTTTGGTACCATTTTTCTCCTTGTCCCTCTCCCTCTCCTCGTGCGGCTTCCACTTCCAGCGCGTCGTCACCGACATGCCGCTGTCGCTGCTGGCCATGGGAATCTCGCTCGGCCGCGGCGGCTCCATCAGCGCCGCCTTGGCCGGGAACGCGCCCACAAACCCGTCGTGCCAGCCCATGCACCACTTGCCCTCCCACTTTTCCGGGAACATGACGCCCACCACGCGCGCCCCCGCCAAGAAGTGCAGCATGTCGCCGCCGTAGTTGGGCGGCCGCGCCAGCTTCTTGGCGCCCCACCGCTGCAGGTGCTCGCGCGTGGCCGTGGCGACGGGCGCCTGGCCCACGCTGGGCGGCACGGGCGTCGGCAGCGGCGGGTTGACGAGGTGCAGGTCAAAGTTGTTGGTGTCCGGGTCCGAGCTGCTGGCCGTGCTGACGCTGCTGGCCGACGCCGGCTGGTAGTCGGTGCCGTAGAGCACGGTGACGCCCGGCACCAGGGGCAGCGGCTGCGGGTGGCGCGCGAGGTGCAGCAGCAGGTGGTCGGGCGTCGTGAACACGGTGGCGTCGCCCTCGCGGACCGTCGCGCCCGCGTGCACGCAGAAGATGCACGCGTAGTGGCTCTCGGCCTGCCGCTGCGAGCTGATGGCCGTGGCAATGTGCGACTTGTAGAGGAGCCGGAGGCGGAACCGCGCGCCGCCGGCTTTGGTGAAGGTGGCTTCGGCTGGGGGTGTTAGTAATCAGCGGGAGGGGAAGGTGATGATACAGGGAAAGAGAAGGGACGGAGGACCTACGCTTCTTCTCCATGTCCAGGCGGACCTCTTCGTAGTTGTGCGCATAGCTGCAGCCGACGCACCGGCCAATGCTCGCCTGCTTGTTGGCCACGTAGCCGCCCGTCTGCTTGATGCCCTGCCAGTGGCCGCCGCTGCGGTACAGGTCGGCGCCCTTGCAGAACCCGCCCATCATCTCAAACGTGCTCTTGGGGCCGATGCTGCAGTCGGCCTCGCGCACAAACTCGCGCGTCAGGGGCACGTCCGCGTGGTCCGCGGCCGCGTCGTCGCCCGCGGTCGATGCGGCGCCCGCCTTGGCCTTGTCTTTGTCCTTTTCTTCGTCCACCACCATCAGGCCGTTGTCAAACACCTTGTCGGACATGCCCGACGGGATGCTCGGCGGCAGATTCGGGGAGGCCATGCCGGACGGCGACGGCAGGTCGTGCAGGTCGTGCAGGTCGTGCAGGTCGTGGTCCAAAATAGTCTGCGGCTGTGTCTGCGGCTGTGTGGCGGTCGAGGACCGTCTCGTCGTCTGCCGCGACATCGGCCGGTCGCCCGCTGCTGTCGTCGCGTCGCGCACGTCGGGCTGCATTGCGCGCTTCATGTTGATGCGATCATGGCGATCGTGCCGGTCGTGCCGATCGTGCCGGAAAGGCTGCTGCCGCGATCCCGGGCGCTGGTAAATCTGCTCTTCCAGGTCGTCCAGCTCGGCATCCCGCATCAACGGATCGTCACCGCCGCCGTCGCCATCACCGTGCACGTCGTGATCGTCGTCGTCATCAATGGCGTCCACGTCGTCGTCCACGTCGCCGCGTCCGCGGCGTGGCAGGTGTCTGGGCGACAGCGGTAGGCTGATGGGCGGCACGGGCGGCGACGGCGCAAACTTGATAAAGTCCTGGATGCTCTGCGACGAGCCGTGGCCGTGCGCCGCCGACAGGGCCGGCGGGGGCAGCGCAGCAATGGGCGGCGCGACAAAGGGGGCCGGGCCCGACGATGTGGGCTTGTTGTTCATACTGGCACCATCGGGACCGTCTGCCTCGCCCAGCGCCAAGATCGGCGACGACGTGTAGCTGGTCGGCGCCGACGAGAGGTACGACGACCGTGCCGCGGAGTCGAGGACGGGGCTGGGCGCCGTGGTCGCGCTTGTGGCGCTGGTGGTGGCCGACGCCGACCGCACGGACCCGGACCCGTCGACCGTCAGCGAGTTGAACCGCGAGAGCATCAGCGGGCTGTCGTACGAGTAGTCGGTGGCCACGGTGTCGCGGGACGCCCTGGCCCGCAGGCGCTGGCTTGCTGTCTGTACCTGCTGATGTTGTTGTTGTTGCTGTTGCTGCTGTAGTTGTTGAAGATGTTGCTGATGGCTCCTCACCCACGCCGATGTGCGAGGAATCGACGGTGGCGGCGGCGTCGACCGCTTGCCGCCGCCCGGGGCCACGCTCTCGCTGTCGTCGTGTCCCCGCTGGTCCTGGTCCTGGCCCTGGCCCTCGGGGTGGTCGTACAGCTGGTAGCGCTCGGCGTGGTCAAACAGCATGCCCCCCCGCGTGGACGCGCCCGACATGCTGGTCGCCACCGAGCTCTTGGTGTTGGCGCGGCGCAGGCTGCTGTGGGCGAGCGACGCGCGGCTCGACGAGGGCGCC